AAAAGGAGCCGCTCTGTAAACCCCTGGCCGGCAGCCGGGCCGGGCTGTGCTGTGCCAGAGGGATGAGCCTGCTGGCCGGAGCAATCACCAAGCTCGTGTCTGCTCCACTCCAAGGGACATCAGCTGCTCTAGGGCCGGATTTGGTTTGGGGGGCACAGGGCTGAGCCCCACTCTTTGGCATCACTGGGGCATGTGGGGGCCGTGTGATGGGTCCTGTCACGGGTCATCCACCTGCATGTGCATCCTGATGAGTTTGTGGGTGTGTCCGGCCAGTGCATGTGTCCCAATATCTCCTGTGCATGCACAGCCTGACACCCCTCTTGCATGCGTGTGTGTCCTGACACACGTGTTGGGTGCATCCTGGCACCTGGTCTCTCTGTGCGACTGGGCTGGGGGGCCATCCCCGGTGCCCTGGGTGGTGGGGGACACATGTGAGCAGGGCCCAGGGGACACCCTCATCCCTGCTACATTGCAGTGGGCAGCTGTTGAGGTGAAGCAGGGGGCTATGGGGCATAGCGAGGAGGGACCCTGAAAGTTTGCACCACATCTGAGATGAAGAGATGTGCAGCACAACATGACCTCCACTGTGGAGTGCCAGCTCTGCCACCTGCCTGGCACCTGCTTGTGCTGGCTTACCTTGCCCAGTCCATGGGCACCATGCAGCCTGTGGTGGTGTTGCCAGTGCTGTGCCACTGCATGCACCCAGCTCCTGGGGGTGCTGTGTCCCCCCCACTCTGGCCAGGGTGCTGGGGAGGGCACTGCCGCCTTGGAGCAGGACAGCAGGTCCTCAGGTCCCAGCCATGCCACTGCAGGCTGCCAGTGCCTGTCCACCCTGATGTCATCCCCTCTGCCCAGAGCAAGCAGAAGAGCTGGGTGCAGCTTGCTGCAGGGGCGCTGGCCATGGAAGTCATGTGCTTGCCTCTGGCAACCCCCAAATCCTCCTGCCAGCCTCACTGCAAGTCCTGCCAGCCATCCTGCAAATCCCATGGCAATCCCCCTAGTGCTAAAAATGTGCTCCAGATAAAAGCAGAGTGAAAAGAGGAGCATCCCTCTGCGTTGCAACCTCCTTGTCCCACCAAACCACCTGCAAGCCTCCACCCCATCCAAGGCCCTGATGAAGCAGGGAGGACCACCCAAAGGATGGCTGCCTGGTGGTCTGCAGGAGATAGACCTTTAGCAGGGTCCAAACCAGCCAAAAAACGTTCCAGTGGTGTCTGAGCATGACCTCTGAGCATGAGCTCCAGATGCCCCGGAAAGTGATGGAACATGGGTGCTTATCTCAGCTTCGCAGAGACAGGCAGAGGGATACAGTTGGTTTCAATGGGTCTTAACACTGTTCCCGCAGTCCAATACCCCAGTCCTGCTGGCCTGATCTGGCTCTTCCCACTGGCAGCTCAGCAGGCAGGGCAGGCAGCATGGGCATGGGGCACCCACAGCCAAACATGCTGAGGCTTGGCTGGGATCAACATGGGCTGCTGGGGATGAACTGGGACAGCCTCATCTCCCATGCATGGCCATGCCTGGACCCGTCCCCTCAGAGCCACATGAAGCTGGAGGTGATGGAGATGGCACTGGCTGTGGTACAGGACAGGTTTTGGGAAGCAGAGCTGGACACCAGCCAGACCCACTCCATGTCAGCCCCATGGACCTCCCTCCCATGCAGGACCAAGTCCTGCTGACACCTCCACCAAGATGCCCTCCCCAGCTCCTGGCTGGGGCACCTCCAAGCCCTGTCACCACTGTCACACTGGAGAAGCTGAGGTGTGCAAAGAAAGGCATCTGCCCTTGAGCCCTCACCCCAGGGCTCTGCATCTCAACCCCTCTGCAGGGAGCAGCTCCCCGTCTCAGGAGGTACCCCCCAGCCCAACCTGCTGGATACACTTGGATCCCTGGGGGGATTTTAACAAGGGTCTCTTCTCTTGCAGGGGTCCCTGGTGCTATCCCGGGAGGGGGAGTCCCAGGAGGAGGCTTTTTCCCAGGTAAGGGTTTCTTGGCAGCTTTGGGGGGGGGGCATCACCCTGCTTGCAGGGATGGGACAGGCGCCTGGGTGGCCCCCAGGTAACTCTGAGCCAGCACAGAGGGCTGCAGACCTGCCAGCCAGGATCAGGGGACATGGGGACAACCTGTCTGGCCACTTAGCCGAGGGTGGCTGCCCCAGCGCCAGCCCCACGGCATGGGGACAGGAGTGGGTGTCAGTGCCAGGATTACATTGGGGGTCACTAGCCCAGGCCTGGCACCTACATCCTGCCCCGCCCTGGCCATGGGAGGTGCTCAGTGGTCACAGCCTGTCCCCCGTCTTTCAGCCAAAAGCTTGGGAACATGCCAGGGGGGATGCCCCATCCTTTTGCACCCCTGTGACCCTGTCTGCCTCTCCATGGATCCCCGGGAGCCTGGCATGGGTGGGTGGGTGGTGGGTGCTCACAGAGATGGGTGCTAAGACTGTGCCATTGCTCGCAGGTGCTGGGGTTGGAGGTTTGGGAGCAGGTGAGTGCTGGGACCCCTTTGCCCAGGGTGTGGGTGTGGGATGGGGAGGGGGGCAGCACCCCTGGCAGAGCTGCCCTGTGGCAGGCAGGTGGTCTGCCACAAGGCTGGTCCTGTCCCCCATGGTGTCCCCACCTTGGGAGATGCTTGGAGGAAGGATGGCTCTGACCCCCTCTCCACTCACTTACCCTTAGGACTCGGGGCTGGAGGAAAACCTCTCAAACCAGGTGAGAAGCCTTTCCTTGTCTCTCTCACCCTCTCTGGCTGTGCCAGTGGCCAGGATATTTCCCGACCCCTGCGGCCCTCAGGTTCTCCCATGTGGCCAAGGGAAGCCCACCATCCTGGGCATCTCCATGGCCAAGACATGCAGCAACTGGCAGTTTCTGCCCTGCTCTGCCACACTAACCACTGCCAAGCCCTCACAGCTGCAAGGGAGCCTTCCGCCCTCATGCCCCACTTCGGCGCACTGTCCTCTCCCCTCCAGCCCCCACAGACAGCCCTTCTGGGGTGCTTGCTGCCTGCAAACCTGCGCCAAAGCTCCTTGGGAAGATGCAAAGCTGGGTAATGCTCACTCAGCTGTGCTGTGAGCTGGTGCCCACATGAAGCTGGCAGCACCTCCACCTGCCTGTGTTCGTGGCTGAGCAGCTTTTGCTGGGGCTCCTGCAGCCCACGCTGGGGTTTGTCTGGCCTAGAAATGAGGGGACTAGAGGGGCCATCACTGGGAGAGAGATGAGATGCTGGCAGGAGGATGCACAGCCAGAGGGCACCAAGCCTGGGGCATGGTGGGGAGGTGCCAGGCACAGCTGAGAGGTGCTGGGGCAGCAGGGACTGAATGTGCACGGGGCAAATCTGGTGCCAGTGGAGATGCCCAGTGCCCATCGAGGCCCAGGGAGAGATGTTCTTTTAGGCGGAGACCCGGGGTGTCCCCTCCTGGCCCATCCCAGGGGTACCCTCTGTGCCCCAGGGCAGGGGCATGCTGCATACCCCCACCCCCCTGAGCCGGCCTGTCTGCACGGCAGGAGTGCCAGCCCGAAGTGGGGGCCGGCAACCTCCGTTTACTCAGATTTCAGCTCGTGGAAAGAAAAACAAGGCCCTTTAGTTTGGCGTAATTAAAACCAAACGCGGCGCGGCCGTGAAGTCCCAGCCGGAGCGGTGTCCGCGCCCTGAGCCAAAGGCAGTGGAATTTGCGCCTGGAGGGAGCGAGGGCTGATTAGCCCCAGATGTTGGAAGGCAGCACTGGCTGGAGCCAGAGGGACTCATTCCTCAGCCATAAACATTTCGGCTCCATCCCCTCGTGGCCTGGTGGGGTGGGGGGTGCGCAAGGCAGAAAGGGATGGGATGGGGAACCAGGATGCTGGTAGGCATGTTTGTCACCCGTCCCTGTGCCCATTGCTGGGGCATGCTCCCATCCCACTGGGATGGTGCAAGCAGGACGGTCCTGCTCCTCTGGCCCTGGCCACCCCCTGCTACCTCACCCCACTTCTCTTTCCAGGGGTCGGTGGCCTCGGGGGACTTGGCCCACTTGGCCTGCAGCCAGGTGAGCACAGAGCACCAGCCGCCCCCACTCCGGACTGTCCCCAGGGTGACGTCCCTAGACACCCATCTTGGGGACAGCATGAGGCTTGTCCCCATCGGGTGCTCTCTGTAGCCTGCCTGGTGGGTCCCATCTGGGCTGGGCACCCTTGCCAGACCTGAGGGACTGGCAGCCACCAGCAGGCAGCCCTTATAGTCCCCCAACATCATGGCATCAATCATGGCTGGGTGACCCCAAGTAGAGATAGGCAAGGAGGGACACAGGGTCCCCATAGGGTCTGCAGCAGGGGGACAGTGCCCGCATGTAGCCCAGCCAGCCTGCTTGGGGCTGCAGGGGACTCCAGCATGCACAGCAGCCAGGGACACCACAGGGTGTCCTGGGTGGCATGGGCATAGCTGGTGATGGGTGGGATGTGGATGGGAGCAGGTATTTGCAGGGGGATACAGGGGGAAGCCAGTGCAGGACAGTGCCTGCTAACCACCACCTTGCCTAGCCTAACACCAGCCCCTGGCACCGCCATGCAGCCCCCCATGGCTTACCACCCCCTGTGCGCAACATGGCCAGTGTGGAGGGCAGGACACCTTCTCACTGTCCGCTTTTTGGGGATGCTCAGGCGGGTTGTTATCCTCCCCGCAGGTGCTGCAGGTCTCTTCCCTGGAGGTGCCTATCCTGGGGGTGTCTTCCCTGGTGCTGCCTCTGCCGCTGCACTCAAGGCTGCTGCGAAAGCTGGTGAGTGCTGAAGGTGTCCAATGCGATGCTGGGCCACACAACAATGCTGGGCAAGGCAGCAATGCCAGGCAAGGCAATGCCAGGGCTTGGGCAGCCCCCAGGGACTCCTGGTGTCCCCTGGGTGCCCTTTGGAGGGCTTTCCCTGTGAGGCTGGGGGGCTGCAAGCCAGAGGTGCTGCTCTCACAGGGATCCCCACCACTGCAGAGGGACCTTGGCACAGCTTGGTGTGCTGAGAAAGAGGCATTGGCCAAGCCCGAGCCCCCAGAAGCAGAGAACACCAGCTGCCTGGTCCCTGTGCCCAGCTCTGGGGAACCCATCCCTCGTGCTGCCTTGGGGTGTCCTCTTTGCTCCCCAAGAGCTGTCCTGAGCTTGCCCCTTCCTTTGGCACCACTCCGGCCACCCGTAGCCCAGCAGTGGCGTCTCACACTAGTACACTCCTCTTCCCAATGCCCCCAGGTGCTGGCATTGGTGGTGTGGGTGGAATTGGTGGTCCTAGTAGCCTCAGGGTCTCCACAGGTAGGAAATACCCCTCGTCCCCAGCATAGCCAAGCCTGGGGCAGATGCGTCTCCATGCCCGCCAGGGTGGGCAGGAGCCAGTGTGCCAGGGCTCAGGGGGTCTCTGCTGCCTGCAGGTGCAGTGGTACCAGGCGCGGTGCAGCCTGGGGTTGGTGCAGCAGGGAAACCCCCCAAAGTACCAGGTAGGTGCACAGCCCCAAAGTGGGGGGCCAGGGCGGGGAACGGCACTGGCTGGGCGCTCATCCCTGACTTTCTCTCGCCCGGCAGGCGCTGGGATTCCTGGAGCCTTCCCGGGCGGTGTGCTCCCTGGCGCAGGTGAGCTGGGGGTCCCCACTCCACCAGCAGCACCCTGACCTCCAAGTGTGTCCCCACCCCACCAGCAGCACCCATTTTAAGTTGATAGCCTTGTGGCCAGCTGCACCCTGGGCGTTATAACACCTCCCCTGCCTGCCCTGCTCATGCAGGCAGAGCACCCTGCCCTGCAGAAGGCTGCGTGCAGCCCCATGCTGCCCACCTGCCTAATTCCCTGCCTGTCCCATCACTGCTGCCTGCAGTTTCCAAACCCTTTCGCTGGGACTGTAGTGACATTTCCACCATGCCAAAGGTGGGGCAACCTGGCATCTCCAGGGGTCTCATGCCAAGCTCCGCAGGAGCAGGCGGCTTCAGCACCGGGAGAGGAGCTTGCATGACCACGCCAGGGCTGGCTTGCCCAGCCAAAGGCAGCATGGGAAGGAGGGGGAGGAGGTGGCGGGGGGAGAGGAATTCCTCACTGCAAAGTAATATGAGGGAGGAAAACTTGTGAAAACAAGATGTTTCGACATTGTCAGAAGAAGTGTGTTGCTGGTCAGGAATGTCTTTTCCATGTCTGAAAACACATGAGTTATAATGAAAGACATTTGTAAAAGAGAAAAAAAACCCCAAACCAACCAAAAAAAAAAAACCAACACCAAAAACCCAACCCAAATGACTGCGAGGCCAGAGCACTGCCTGTTGCCCCTGGAGGGCTGGGGCTCAGTGGGCTCCTGCCTTGCTCCCACTCCCCAAAGAGTCCCAGCTTGCATACAGCAACTGCACATCAGTGGGACAGAGAACAATGCCTGGGCTTGGCTATACCATGCTGTGGTCTGGTGCTTTGCTCTCATGAGTGGGACCCACTCATGGGTGCCATGTACCCTGCATGTACCCATGGTGCCATGTACCCTCTTGTGTGGGCAGCCGTCCCCCACGCCCAAGTACAGGCAGCTGCAGGGCTGGAGCAAACACTTCCCTGGCAGCTCTTCCCCGGGTGGTGTGGGGAGGCTGGCACAGGGGTGTCCCAGCAAGCCCCTGGGGGATGAGGGTAGCCTGTCCCAGGGTATAAGGGTTAGGGCTGAGCCAGAGATGGGTGACAAGGATTTGGGAGCTGGGTGCAGGGGTCTCAGGTACCAGCAACGCCACGATGCCCCACCATACTCACCCGGCCCCTCTGGTCTCTGCTGCAGGTGTTCGCTTCCCTGGTGTAGGGGTGCTGCCTGGAGTACCCACTGGTGCTGGAGTCAAGCCAAAAGGTCCAGGTAGGTCCCCTTGATCCCCTGGGGACACCGGGGTGGAGGGTGGGTCCAGGGCTGGCTCCAGCTCTGCCCTCATCCCCATCCTGCTGGGGCTGGCTCCAGCCCATTTTTGGGGGTTGCAGCCCCATAGGGCATGTGGGTGAGCAAAGCCGACTTCTGGCTGAGCCCACGCAGCCCACGCAGACTAGTTTGGACCCTGAGGATCAGCCCCGAAGCTCACATGGGTGCCTTTGTTTTTTCTGCCTAGGAGCAGGAGCCTTCGCAGGAATCCCTGGTGAGTGTCCTGTCTCTCGCCTGTCCTTCTCTTTCTTCCCAAGCCTGTTCATCACAGCCATGGCCTCCCCATGCCAGAAGATGCCTCAGGGCTTCCCAAGCCACCCACTCTCCTCTCCCGGGGTGCCCCGGGGTGCTCCCCTCTCACAAGGACTGGTGGCAGCCTGGGCGCGGGCTCCAGGTGAGAGTCTGCTGTTGGCTTTGCAGGACTGGGAGGTTTTGGAGGTCAGCAGCCCGGTGTCCCTCTGGGGTATCCCATCAAAGCTCCTAAGCTCCCAGGTAACCTGCCACAGCCAACCGGGCTAGGGACAAAGGACCCCAGCAGTGCCAGGAGAAGGACCCGCCGTTCCCCAGAGCTGAGCTGCAGTGCCCCCAGGTCCCCTGGACCTGGCAGTGCTGGTGCTGGCCCTGGGACAGCAGGACAGAGCAAGGGGCGCTGGGCAGGTGAGTCCAGCAGCAGCCCTGTCTATCACAGCCCTGTGGGCAGCTGCCTGGATGCTGCTGCTGGTCTTGCCCCCAGCCCATGAGGACAATGCTGTGCCTCTCTCCGGCTGTGGTAAGGTAGGAAAGAGCATGTTCTGGGGACATGCTTTGGGCCAGGCCACCCCAGGTTGGGGTCCCTGCTGGCTCCTCCTGGCACAAGGCACAGCCCTTGCAGGGACTGTCTCCTTTTTGTGGCTCCTGGGGTTGTGCCAGGCATCACTGGGCATTCACCTGGGCCAAATGTCCTGGGCTCAAGGAGCTCTAGCCAAGGCCACCAAGAGCAGGCAGGTGGTGGGGATGGAGATCCAGGCAGGTCTTCCTCCCCACTGCCCATCCAGATGAGGTTCACTCCCAGCCCAGGGAAGCCTGAGGGTGCTCAGCACCCATTTCCCAGGCTGGGCTGCTCCAGGGACTTCCATTTCCCTGCCCTGTGCCTGCTGCCAGCTCTGCCTGTCACCAGCTGGACATGCCCATGCAGGGACAGCAGCAGGACTGGCAGTGCCAGGCAGCCAGTACTGGGTGCTGTGCCCTCCAAGGGCCATACTGCCAGGTTACTAGTCCCAAGAGCATCCCCGAGGAGGAGGGCAGCTGGATCTGTCCAGGGACCTGCATCCCTGGGGTGCTGGGAAATGAGTAGATATCCATGGGCATTTTCCCACTCGCCGAAATGAGTTGCTGCAGGCAGGAAAGCCTTGGTGGCGGGAGCCCACCCCCAGGGAGCAGGTCCCACCCCAGCACAGGTGCCAGCCCCTGCAGCTCTGCTGGCTTCCCCCAACTGGGGCCCGTCACCGCAAATGGCAGCAGAAATACTTGGCCCACTGAGGTTTCCTCCCACGGAGGCAGTTATGCTCATTAGGACGACTCGGCCCCACTGCCATCAGATACCGTCTGGCCTCCCGGCTGCAGCCTGGCCCCAGACTGCCTTTCATGGGGTGCCTGGTGTGGAGAGCAAACCACCAGCACATGGCGTGGTGCCTGGCTCCATCCTGCGGCAGCCCCACCAGTGGCCCACAGCCTGGATGGGACGCCGCTGCCAGCTGACCCACTTTATGGGGAGCCTTCGTTAAATAAATCAGGGGAGGACACCCATTCCCTTGGCCAGGGAGCTCCGTCAGTGTATCATGCCTCTCATGGGGAGCAGCAGGGCAGTGGTGGTGTCCCCAGCTGTGGTTTCAGCTGCTGGGTGCTGCCCAGTCCTTCCTGGGATGCTGAGGGATGCCAGTTTGTCACCTCTGAGGGCCTGGGGCTGGCAGCATGGGGACACACTGGGATGTCTGTCGAGGCTGTGACTTTGATGCTGTGGATGGACCTGGGGGCTGCCACACATCCCTGTGTTCCCTGGGCTGTGTCCCAGCTGCAGTAGGTCTGGGTCAAGAGGGGATGAAGGGACAGTGGGGAAAAAACATTTTCAGTGGAAAGTCTCCTTTTTGGATGATTTCCTCCAAATCCCCTAGCCAGCTCCTGCTCTGTGCTGTCCCTGCTCAGGAGGTGGTCATGGGTCCACCTTACTCACTAGGGGCTCAGCCTCAAGCTGTGGCTGAAATCAGGTCCAACCCGATGCTGTAGGGATGGGGACTGCTCCCCAGTGCCTGGCTGTGTTGGGGTGGCATTGGTCTGTGCGAAGCCCTTTCCATGCTAGCCGGTGTGCCCATTGGCCCTGAGCCTCCCTGGCAGTGCTGGTGGCATCCCCGTGCTGGCACAGGATGGGTGTGCACAGCCCCAGGGCAGAGGCTGCTCTTGCATCTGGCTGGGGGTGGTGGGGAGCTGGGCTTGGTCCTGGCAAAACCATTGGAGACCCAAAGGGCTTGGACTCTTGACCCATGGAGTCACTTCCACGTGTCACCCAGTGCTGGACCCTTCCGCAGCTTTGGGGGGAGCGAGGCACTGGTGAGGTGCCCTGGAATGGGCAAGGGGCGTCCCCAAGGTGGGGGATACGTGGTATGGCTCACAGCCACCACAGCCTGGAAAGCCTCTGCCTTCCAGCAATGCCGCGCTGGTGTGGGACATGATGGTACAGCCTGGCAGGGTGGAGGGAAATCTGGTCCCCACATGCTGGCTGGCGGGAGGGGACAGTGTCCTGTGCTCAAGGAGACACTTTGCCCTGAGCAATCCCATCCTGGCTGCAAGCAGCTGCATCCCCGCTCTGCCTGCAAGCCCTTCCAGTGGGAGGGCTTAGTGTGTGAGACACCCTCCACTCTACGTGCCACTCGAGGTGTCCCCATCAGGGGTGTGGCAGCCCATCACCCCTCCTCAGGCCACTGCCAGCAGTGATGGGAGCTCAGTGCTGCCAGCTCCCAAGCGCACAGTCCCTGCCAAGCCATGGGCATCCCTGTGCCGTCCCGAGCGGTGGGATCCTGCTCTTTCGCAAGGAGACATTTCCCTGGCTGTGATATTCCCACTCGTAATGCCTCCCCATCCCTTTGTGCCAACCTCCTAACAAGGTCACGTTTCAACAGAGTCTCCCAAGCCCTGATTCCAATTAAAACCTTTCATTTGGAGCCAGACAAGGCACAGCCAGCTGGGTACAGCTCTTGCCGTGGGGCTCCCAGGGGACACCCTGCCGAAGTGGCGTCACAGGAGACTCCTGCAAAACCAGGTTTGGGCACGACAGCCCTCAGCACAGGGCTGAGAGCAGGTGGCTCTTTTTGGAACTGCTGCTTCAAAGGTGATGGAGAAGAGCATCTCCTGGCCCAGCTCCATCATGGGGGGTTGTATCCCAGAGGATTTACTGTCCTGAAGGAAAGAGCCCCAAGGGCTGGTGCCGCACAGCCGGCTGGCAGAGAGGGGCTACACCGCGGGGCAGAGGGGGCACAGCCACCGGCAGCCAGGTGCTAACCCGCCACCTTCTCTCCTCTCCAGGTGGCTATGGATTGCCCTACAGCACTGGTAAGCTGCCCTACGGTGAGTGCTTGTAGCCCTTGCTCCGCGGTCGTAGCTCCTCACGGCTCTGCCGGCTGGCGCCATCGCCTCCTGGCCCCAACCCCCCACGGGC